TGTTGAGGTAATTAGGAAATGGATCAATGAATCCGCAATCAACCAATAAGAAAATGCTTCAAAACTGATTAAAAAAACTAAACAGATTTGGATTATTTGGATGTTGGAGTTTGGATTTCCATGCAATCGTTGTCATAAAGATGTACTGTCGTCAGATTTGGTTGATGTTTGTAGAGGCAGAGACGGAAGCAGAGATTGTTTCTTGTCGGTTTAATAATGAATTTGGTGGCAAAAGAAGCACAAACCCAGACTGAACAGGCAGGGAACCAAAACGAAGAGACACTCAGGAGGTACCTACATACAAAAGGAAGACTTTCCTGCAAAGAGGAACTTCACAGGAGGTGTATACATGGGAGAAACAAACAATGAATGGACTAATCAGCTGATAGGGTGCAGGTGTGGACAGGAGCAACTTAAAAGGAGATAAGGGGAAAGAAAAGGGACTCTAGGGTGCAACAAAGAATAACAAGGCAAAACAGGATCTAACTGTAAACTAAAGGAAAGAAAATAGAGCTACAAGACATAGAAAGAAATAACCAGGACTAGTAAAACTAAGGATTCAAAGATGATATAAATCTTGACAAACACAGAGTAACATAAAATTAAGCATAACTGAGAACCCCAAAAGAAAACGTAAACAGAACCAAAAAGTCCAAAAGGGAAGAATCATGACAGCTGTGGCTTAATTTCACACCACAGCTCAGCCAAACCTGATTGTTATGACTTTTCAGTGTGGAGTTTTAGCTTAACATGTGTTGTTGTGCCATCTGTGAACAGTTTGATGTTGACTTAAGGCTTGAGATACAAGGAATGATTTTCCAGGTCAATATGCAGCCCTTGATTCATGTTGATGCTCACTTCGGGTTGCTCTTTTTAGAAAACTGCTATGTAACTTGAGAGGGTCGATCTGTTGCTGAATGAATTATGTGAACCTGAGTGCTGCTTTACAGAGTTAACTAAGCTATTAGCCAACAAAACGGATATGACCCTTACCTAATAAAACACATTTTAGGTTCTCTGATGAATGATTTATTCTATAGTGTGGCCTTGAATTTACCAGGCATCTTCTCAGTCTGCTTGTCTGCTATAAGATCCCAAAACACAAAGGAAATTTATAGTTTTTATTTAACCTTTTATTTGGAGAAGCAAGTTACAATTACTTCATACAGACCAGCTTCCATCTCGATGGAAGTATGAGCAGGAATAATATAAGCCAATCCAGGATTTGTGTATAATAACCAAACATCCATAACAGAATATTGAGTGTGGGGGGTGGGTCTAGTCGGATTTTTCTTATATTAGGGGAAAAGCACAATCAGAAAGAAAATTTTCCATCTTCCTGAGCAGTGGTACAATACACAGTACAGCAGAATTTAAATGTGAAAGACATATTTAGTCCACAGGGATTACTGATTTTACATAGTTTGTCCATTTAGACCACATCCTGAAGAATGATTCCCTTCAACCTTGAACAGAAAAAGATAGCTCCTCCAGAATGTGGTTGTCCTGTTCAATATTGACCCAGTCCTCAACTTTAGGAGCTTCAGGCTTTAACAATTTTCTAGTGACATTAACAGCAGCTTTTTTGTCCCCCAGAGTCCAGCTATTAAATTAAATGTTCCCTAAGTATACGGATTCACAATTACATGGGATGCTTTCGAGAAAGATGTTATTCAAACAGGAATATATCTGCTTCTAAAAAACCTTAATCACTGGACAGCTCCAGAAGATATGGTGCACTGGAAAAAAATCTAAATCGAAATAAGTAATTTTTTCTTAAAATAAGTGCATTTGTTCTTGGATTGAAGAGATAAAAGAGACATTTTGCCAATGGAACAAGACAATTTACATTTAAAATAAGAAAGCACAATTGAAATGTCTTATTTCAAGTGCATTTTATCTAGATATCTTCTTTTGAGAGTAAAATACTCATTCCATTGGAAAATCATCATTGGTAAATACACTTAATTTAAGAAATGTTTACTTATTTCTACATCTTTTTCCCAGTATGGTGATTTGCCCCGTTTGTTCAACAGTCTCTCCATCATGTGTCTCCGCTGCCTCCATGTTTTTTCTGAGCTAGATTTACAAAATATTGCACGGTGTTTTTCCAACAGAACTGCCTCCAAGTATTGGAGCTTGACGTCATCCAGCTTCATTTATTTATCTGTTCTCAGACTTCAGTTGGGATGGATAAAGTTTCTTCTTTTACCCACACTGGAAAGACAATCTAAAAATAAGTAAAAATGTGTTAAATTAATTGTCTTTACCCTTTATTTGAGAAGGGAAATGAGATAGTTTTCCAATGGAATGAGTATTTTTACTCTTAAAATAAGATAATTAGATAATATCTACTTGAAATAAGAAAATGCATTTATTTTTTCTCATTTTAAATGTTAATTGTTCCATTGGCAAAATTTCTCTCTTACCTCCTCAATCCAAGAACAAATGCGGTTATTTTAAGAAAAAATGACTTATCGAGATTTGGATTTTTTCCAGTGCACTTGTTTCTTATGTAGACTGTGTCACCTTGTGTAGGGGATAGAATACCATTGTAAAGTATGGAAACTAATTTCTTACATGAGCCTGACTTCAACAGAGACAAGAACAAATTAAAAAGTCGGCTCTATAGTTTTTTAGACAGTGCTGTGTGCATTTGCTTTCTGGACCATTACAACCAAGTTAAAGATCTTGGCTAAAAGTTACAGATTCGCTTTAAAACACACTTCATATTTGTCTGTGCTAGCCTGGCTCCCAGCTCCTGCTCTCTTTGGGATGGTCTTTGACATGTCCTGCATTGGGTGGAGAAAGGTGTGTGGGAAGAAGTTTAGCTGTGGATACTATGACAACAGCCTGATGAGGAGCAGGTAGGAACATTCACAGCTCTGAAGAAGTCTCCACTGAAAGTATGCATTGTATTTGCTAATGAGCTTGTTTGTTTTTAATACCTCTACAGGTACTTGGGTTTACAGGTGGGTTATAAGATCATGGGCATTGTCCTGCTGATCCTTCTGGGCTGGAAGGCAAAGCGGACCCAGGAGTACGATCTGGAAAAGAAACCAGAAATACAAGTGTGATCCTGCAGAGATCCCCTCCCCCCTTTTTCACAGCATTGCTATGAAGTAGAACATGTTGAAGAAGAGTGTTCCTCAGAAGGCTGCTTCAGTGAGAGGAATCCATAAAGACTGTCCTTTGTGACCTGGATTTTCTGCAGGCCTAGTTTCTGCCAGGTGCTTTGCTTCTGCGAATGAGGATCTTTTCAAAAAGGGATAAATCCAGAGTTTTTTTTTTAATGGTATCCAATGACCATAACTCTAAAAACAAAGAAATGACATGAAGCTTTCATATTGGATCAGTTGTGTACTGAGAGAATAAGAAGGACCTGCATGGATGTACCATGCTGCTCACTGCTGAGCCTGTTGGAAAGCAGCTTTGCTCATTTAAAGATGAGCCACTTTATATATCTCTCGTTTGCAGTTAGGGTACTTCATAATACCTATTTTACATTTTAGATAAACGATTAAATAATGATAAAAAAATGAAATAACTGAACATTAAGTGTTCATATTAGGCTGGAATGGACTTTGGTTTCTGTTTGCATTTGGGAACATATTCTTTAACTAATTAACTATATAGCTTAATATTTAAGTTATTTTCTACTGATTTGTCTCATACCCTGAGACATTTAACACCAATAATGGTTTCATGTATGATCGAGTGTAACTTTTTAAATGAATTTTCAGATATTGAGCACCTTCACTTCTTTTATATTTTTCAATAAAATAAGTTATGCACCTACATTGTGTTGTTATTGGGTTATTAAAGTTAGTGTATTTGCAGCACATCCTATTTGTCCAGTTTTAGAATATATACATAAAATATATATAAGATAAGACAATATGTATAAGAGTGGCACAAAAAAAATCTGGTTAAAGAAAGTTTAGAAACTGTTTGCTGCATGAGACACAATGAACACATGGGGGAGAAATGGTTCCCCAGCAAGACCAAAGCAAACTTTTATTTTTCCCAGCAACATCTTCATTGTTTTTTTTTTTTATACAGTGTACATAAACATTTTATTCTGCCTTAGGACTGGGAACCAATATGAGGAAACAACTAAATGAATTAAATAAAATCAACTATTTAAACAGGCGAGGACAATATATGCAAAAATGTATATAAAATAAAGACGACATAAAAGTGTGTATTGAGAACACTAATATATATTAAAATATATGTACAAAAAAAACTTGTCTTCTGTAGTTACTCATCTTGGGTGCTTGATAGATTTAAACCTTTCAGCTAACAAAGAGTTTCCGAATACTTTCTATAACTAGAAAATTTCTAAAGAAATTTTGAGGGGGGCCACCTACTGCCCGTCTGGGTAACTGGGCCAATACGGCCCTGGCAAGTGACGTCGGGGCTCCCCAGACCAACTGCTTACGCCTTTGAGGGCTGCTGAGGGAAGGAAAGAGGGCTAGGTCATGGGCAAAGAGAGCTGTGTGCCACTTGTGCTTAAATCTGGGAAATAGACGTGCACAGCATATGATGCACAAGGGTAATATGGGTTGTCCATATTGAACTGCAGTGGGTAAAGCGCAGTTGGCGGGCTCCGCCCGCCTGCTAGGAGCCCTTGCAGCGATAAAAAAAATCAACAATGGCGGGCTCTGCCCGCCTGCTATGAGCCATTGCAGTGATGAAATCACCATTGGCGGGCATCGCCCGCCTTCTAAGAGCCATTGCAGTGATGAAATCACCAATGGCGGGCTCCGCCCGCATGCTCAGAGCCATTGCAGTGATGAAATTACAAATGGCTATGAGCAATATGCCAGAATGTATGAGTGTGTATAAGGAAGAGGCTTTTATTCTGTAGAGTCCCTGTAGTGTTATTTTGAAAGTCTATCATGGATGTACATCAAAAGATGGGTCATGCCCAGCAGCTTTTGCAAAGCACTGCATAACAACAGGAGCCTTTAACTAATTTCTGGTTATGTACACACACTGGTCTGCTGTATCTCTGCACCCCCGGTTATTCACCTATGTAGAGAGGGGAGTTTTGCTGTCCTGCAAAATCATCAATGTAGGAAATGCCAAAGGGCTGGATGGGCACCGAGCCGGCGCCAAAGAGCAGCTGAGCGATGGGCATGAGCACCCACAGTTTCCTGGAGTCCGACAGTCGCCCGGTGTCTTCGCGGCCGCAGGATTCTGTTCTGCTGGAGTTTTCACGTAGGTTGCAGATATCATGGCGACCTGGATTGAAACAGGCAGTCACACATGGTCAGTTTATATAAGGAAAAAAAAGCACAAAAACAGACAGTTAATGAAGGAAGCTGAACTTTTTTCCTATTTCCTGAAGCTTATCTGGCCTTCTTCTGACAACAGCATACTGAGGTCATTTTAAAAGGTAGAAGACGGATTCTGTTACTGCAAATGAAATACTCTGAGGGTAACTCTAATCACTGCAGCTTTTAGCTGCAACAGATTCTTTAGTTCATCTTAAAGTTTACATGTAAATGATGAGGGAACCCTTTAGACCTTTGCAGTCGTCTAAGAAACCAAACCCCAGAGTCGACTCCTTAAAATTGCTTTGACAAGTTTGTATATTTGTGAGTTAACCACTCTGGACCTGCTCAGTCGACACACGTCATGTGGTTTTGGTTTGTTTATCTGTGTGTGCAGCTCGTTCTTACTGTGTAAAACCGACTCGTATTCGTAGGGCTGCGACAAGAAGTGAGGTAAGGTGAGGATCATGGCACTGACAGCCATCAGCAGTCCACCGATGCCGATGACGCGAGGACGGTGAACCCGGCTGCCAAAGTAGCTCACAAACACAATCAGAATGCAGTTGCTGACCTGTCGAACAGAAAACACAGAATCAAAAAAAATTATTACTCTTTTTCTCCAACTCAATCAAACTAACAAAGTACTATCCTAGAAAATGCAGTTTAGTTATAAACCTTCTAATAGTCGATCCATTATTTCACTGAAAACATCATTAAAGGGCTTTTTTGTTGCTCCAGAGGGAACTCGAGCCCCTTGTTTGGGCTGATTTAATGGCTTAACATGTCAACAAGTTGATGCTGATCATGATTCCGATGAAAGGTTATCTAACTAAGACAGATGAAAAACATTTGGTCGTGGTGAGAACATAATGACTCTCAGTATTCCTGACCCCTCTATCTATAAGGCTGTTCCCAAATACATGCCAACCCCTTAAATATCAGGAAATCTAACTCTGATGTGTTCCTTGCACTTTATTTCCCCTTTGTCATCAGTATCCCTTAAAAAAAATAATAAATTCACACTATCACAGTCCTACAAGGCAGGCGGAGGTGTTGTTATTGGCTCCTACCTCGTTGAGAGAGGAAATGGTTCCTGAGGAGTAGCTGCTGAGGCCGTAGCGTTTCTCGATGGTGGAGATGGTGCTCTTAAAGTAGGCGCTGTAGAGCAGCTGGGAGAACTGCAGGAGCCCGTGGCAAAGGACAAACAGCTGCAATGGAGACAGAGAAATGATTAGTTAGTCTCTAAATTCTAGGTGATAATTGTTCATGCTGTTATGGTTAAAGGCAGCTGGACTAGAGGAGGATGCTCTTCTGTAAAGTGTAGCTATCAAAAGATTGGAGAGAAAAACAGTTTAGAAAGCAAAGAGGTTCAGTGTTGGCTGAATTTCCAAGCTCTGTTGCTTCAAACAAGCCCAAACAATCCTCCTCCATTCAGGAGGTGTTTTATATACCTAATGTACTACAGCAAACAGCAATCTGGGTACAACTTTTGTTATTGGTCTCACATCTCCTGATGACTTTGTTGCAAAAATTTTGTTTTGTTTTAATATACAAGCTTTACAATAAATAAATATATTATTTTAGATTAAAAGAACTAAAACCCTTTTTGTTTCCATTTGTTAGTAAACTTAAAAGTAGTGTTGCGCCAATGCCATTTTTTTGGCCCTGATATCGATACCTGATACCTGGCTGTGCAGTATTGGCCGATACTGATACCATCTGTTTGAAATTGAAGTGTGAATATATATATGAAGAACTGCATACTACTTGGATGTAAAATAATTGCCATCATGGCTTTGACAAGCTGCTGCCTACCTTTGTGAAGCAGGAAAAAGACTAATACAAAGTGAATCCAGTAGAACTTTTTATTGCCTACCTGGAATGGGTGACAATAGTTGAATAAACGTTTGGCTCTCAAAATGGTATCCGTATTATTGGTGCTCGCCATGCAGGTGCACAAAAAGTCAAACAGTAAGTCATGGAGCCAAGCAACATCCAGCGGAGGAGTGAAATAAACTAGAAAATTTCTAAAGAAATTTTGAGGGGGGCCACCTACTGCCCGTCTGGGTAACTGGGCCAATACGGCCCTGGCAAGTGACGTCGGGGCTCCCCAGACCAACTGCTTACGCCTTTGAGGGCTGCTGAGGGAAGGAAAGAGGGCTAGGTCATGGGCAAAGAGAGCTGTGTGCCACTTGTGCTTAAATCTGGGAAATAGACGTGCACAGCATATGATGCACAAGGGTAATATGGGTTGTCCATATTGAACCGCAGTGGGTAAAGCGCAGTTGGCGGGCTCCGCCCGCCTGCTAGGAGCCCTTGCAGCGATGAAAAAAATCAACAATGGCGGGCTCCGCCCGCCTGCTATGAGCCATTGCAGTGATGAAATTACAAATGGCTATGAGCAATATGCCAAAATGTATGAGTGTGTATAAGGAAGAGGCTTTTATTCTGTAGAGTCCCTGTAGTGTTATTTTGAAAGTCTATCATGGATGTGCATCAAAAGATGGGTCATGCCCAGCAGTGATATAGAATCCATTTCCAAATGTTAAATCACTGGTTTTCCATGTTATTAGGTGAATAGCTGCTGTATTACAGAGTAAATGGGAGACTTTTATTGTGAAATTTGCTCTGTGGTGTGTTTTGAAAAGGTCACTAGAGTCTAATAAAAACAACCTGGAAGAGTTTGGGTCATAATGTTGAGCCATTTGCATCAATTATTGCATTAGTATAATCTAGAGGCTTTTATTTTGTAGGGTCCCTGGAGTCTTATTTTGAAAGTCCAACAGAGTTGTGTTTAGAGAAAATGTTCAGACCCAGCAATGATAGTTCATGACTTTCCAATCGTTAAATCACTCTTTTTTCCATGTTATTAGGGCAGTAGATGAAGATGAAATGGGATGCTTTTATTTTGAAATTTGCCTTAGGGTGTGTTTTAAACAGTCTCCTAGAGTCTATTCTCTAAAATGGGGTTGAGTTTGGGTCATAATGTTGAGCCATATAGGGCAATAAATATATGTAAAAAATATAGAGGCTTTTATTTTGTAGGGTCCCTGGAGTCTTATTTTGAAAGTCTATCAGTGTTGAGTGGCAAGGGAAGTGTCATGGACAGCAGTCATATAGTATCCATTTCCCAATGTTAAATCAGTGCTTTCACCCTCCATTAGATTAATATGTGCTGTTTAAAACAGCAGAGGTAAAATCTCTTTGAAGCACGGTTACCTTGACAACGCTTACCGAGCCTGTCAGTGACAGAGAGAAAAGCGCAGCACTATCGTTCCTTCGCTCTCAGGCTTTTTTGAATGGGAGGAACAGCTCCGAACAAACGACTGCTTAGCAAAAACCGTATGAGTTATTCAAAAAATGTCTTCACCGTGAGCATCAGCAATCCTTCGACTCCAACTATGCCAACTTTGGTGTATGTGTGTCATTCAGAACAATATTTATGACGAGTTTAAAACACATAATGACATTCGTTTTTCTCCCCTCTTCTGCTCCAAAACCAATGAAAAACGGCTCTGATTTTGATCGACTTTAGGTCGGTCTGGAGGGTTTTTAAGGAAAAGTATTAATCCTACCGTAATTCCGAAGACATTGTGTGAGTCCAGAGCTTTCAGCCTACAAACTGACCAAAAATGGTGACTGTAGCTCTAAATATGTGGCCGTGAGGCAAGAACAAAATGTTTTATCTTAAAAAAACGACAGCCTGCTTCACTCTGCCTGCTGCAGAAGCTAACTGTCAGCTAGCTTCCAGGTGCTTACCCTCCAAACAAACGACTGCTGAGCAAAAACCGTAAAAGGTATTTGAAAAATTCTTTCAGTGAAAGCAACATCTATCCTTTGTCTCAGACTGGGGTAACTTTCATGTTTGTAGGTCTTTCACAACCCAAAACGAAGCACAAACAAAATGGCTGACCCCACCTGCTCCTCCCTTTGTTTTAACTGCAGCATCACACTGTCACTCACCTTTAAGCTGCTAAAGCACCCCTCCGAACAAACGACTGCTGAGTAAAAACCGTAAAAGGTATCTGAAAAATTATTTTTATCTAAGCGACAGCTATATCTTGTCTTCAATTGGAGTAACTTTCATGGCTGTAGGTCATCTACAACCTGAATGGGAAGAGAAAGAAAAAGAAAAAACGTTTCATCACACCAGAGCTTCTAATTGAGCTAGCTGCAGCAGGTCACTCTTTCCGGTGCTTAAAATGTCCTCCGAACAAACGACTGCTGAGCAAAAACCGTATGAGTTATTCAAAAAAAATTTTCACCGTGAGCATCAGCCATCCTTCGACTCCAACTATGCCAACTTTGGTGTATGTGTGTCATTCAGAACAATATTTATGACGAGTTTAAAACACATAATGTCATTCGTTTTTCTCCCCACTGCTGCTCCAAAACCAATGGAAAAATGCTCTGATTCTCATCGACTTTAGGTCGGTCTGGAGGGTTTTTAAGGAAAAGTATTAATCCTACCGTAATTCCGAAGACATTGTGTGGGTCCAGAGATTTCAGTCTACAAACGGACCAAAAATGGTGACTCTAGCTATAAATATGTGGCCATGAGGGCGATTTTAAAATGTTTTTTGGTCTTAAAAAAACGGCTGCCTCACACTCTAGTTTTTCAGTTGCTCCACTCTAGCAGGCAGGATTTTGCTAAAACTTTGTGGCGCTTGAAGTCTGATTATACAAAAACCGTAGCAGTTATCAACATGCCGTCTTCAGTTTTATGCAGATGAAGGATTTATCTACAAACTGAGCTTTAAACTGTTTTTCTACGTGAATGTATGCCGACACAGTGAAGCGCTGTTTTTTATGCTTTTTTTTACCTCTCCCCATTCATTTCCTATTGGATTTTTTTTGCGACGTTTTCGCTAATAATTCGCAAACCTTCGGACTAATGAGAAAGTTTTATACAAGCACACATCACCCCATTGGTCCGGACGCGTGTGCCAACTTTGGGCCCGATCCGACAAACCATGCGGGACTAGTTACGCGCCGAAGTTTCGGTGGCGAGGAGAACTATAAGCTTGTATAATAATACGCGGAATAAATATGTGCAATAGTAATAGGTGGGCCATGCCTTCGGCATGTGGCCCCCCTAATTAAGATCAAATTTGATTAACCGCCTCCTGGTGGTTATTCAGGCCACGCCAAAATGGAGCCAATAAACACTGTGGCAAAAATAAATAACCCAACAAAGATCCTACGGCCAACCCTGAATAACCTATTCTACTGTTAATTGAGAAAGCGGAACCTTCGTGACAAATGGTGGTTGAGATATGTGAAAGATATTCACAAGGTAAAATCTCAGTGATTTTCTTACTCCATTTTTTTTTCTCTTTCCATTATGTATACAAATCTATAAATACAACAGTTAATTGTGTTTTATAGCCACTGCTGATTCAGATCCCGGGGATGTAAAAAACAAATCAGAATTGAGGAACCAAAAAGAAAAAGAAATCTATTGCCTTTTTAAAATCAGGTTTTGGTGTACTTGATATTTTTTGATTCAACTAAAAGCAAAAAGCAATCAGAGTGCTTTGGATATAATAAACAAAATGTTCTGATCTGGGATATACATGTTTATTGTGCAGGAACCATTAAACATATAGTATGAAATTGGTTTGGAAGCATAAAAAAAAAACAAAAAAAACAACAACTAAAGGTCAGTTGATTATATTAAACACCTTAATATTTGTTTAAGATTTCTATACCATTTATAGTTTATTCGAAAAAAAAAAAAAAATCTGAAAATGCAGCAGTGAATGAGCCACCAGAAGATGTTTGGGCTGCAGCAGAAGAGCTCAGAACCATATTTGAAGCTCTGGAAGCTTCAGTTGAGGTCAGAGTTCTTTATTTGTTTAAACGTTTGGAACCTTATTTACTGATCCACTCTCTCGCCAAGTGTGATTTAATCTGGCATTTCAGAAAACATGTAGATCCCCCCAATTTTACTGTCACTAGAGTCTTCTCATAATCTCTAGCGAACTTTTCAATTTCACATGCTGTTCGCATGCTGCACCCCCAAAAATAGGCTAAAAATGCCTATGATCTATAGTATGCAATTATTCAGCTTCTAGCAACAGCTACCCTTTTTTCCACTCTCATAAGGTTGAGTCTATGTGTTATCCCTGACAGCTCACTATTCTTTCAGGCTCATAGCATTGATATCACTCTTCTGTAAATTTTCAATACACTTTGGTTGTTGTAACTAATTATTGCAATTGGAATTCAGATGGTTGACAACTCAGCAGCAAAATCAAACAAAATCACTCCTGTCCTCCAGCAGCTGCACTTTATGATGGTTTATCAAGAAATAGAATTCAAAATATTGTAAAAACATTTAAGGCATTTCACAATCTGCTCCCCATTATCAGTCAGACCTCCTCCTTCATTCACCTCCAACCATCTCAGCAGCACCAAGGGCATGTGAAGCATGCAGCTTTACTTGCTCAAATTTATTGCTTTATTTTGTATTATTGCATCATCAGAGTTTACAACTTAAAATGCTCACATCAGTTTCACCCATATAAGTGGTATAAGCATGTTTTTTTGAATGAACCCCCACAGAACCCCCTCTCCCCAAAAATACAATTACAACAATAAATATGCAATAGCAGCCGACTTTTTTCTATTTAAACTTATGATTATACTTAATAATATAAATGCTATTTGTTGTTTTGACAATAAAACCAATAACAAAACAAGTAAGAACTGTATTACCCTTCAGTTTAAACAAAACGTCGGTGTTTACTCCAGTCAAATCAAACTAAAAATCCTATTGAACATTGGCAACATGCCTGAACATTTAGATTTTGACAACGAACACAATTGAGAAAGTGTTTGTCTTTGCCACATAGCATTTGTACAGGACATAGGGTATATATATATATATATATATATATATATATATATATATATATATATATATATATATATATATATATATATATATATATATATATATATATATATATATATATATATATATATATATATTCAGACAGGAAAAAATCAGCAACCAGTGAAATTAATTAAAATGCTCTATCTATCTATCTATCTATCTATCTATCTATCTATCTATCTATCTATCTATCTATCTATCTATCTATCTATCTATCTATCTATCTATCTATCTATCTATCTATCTATCTATCTATCTATCTATCTATCTATCTATCTATCTATCTATCTATCTATCTATCTATCTATCTATCTATCTATCTGCCTGTCTGTCTGTCTGTCTGTCTGTCTGTCTGTGTGTGTATGTGTGTGTGTAATCTGTATAATAATAAAGTGTATGTATTTTCCAACTGTTATTTCTATAAGCTTTTTAATTTTGGAAATGTTTTCTACTTTCCTTCTCTGTTTTGGTTTGGATTGCCTCTCTATTTCTCACATCCATTTATCCATTTAAGTTTTTGATGTAAAAAAAAAAATGCTCATTTTATTTTATTAGAAATTGTACTATGTTCCCTCTATAACATGACGTAATTTTATTTCCCTGGCACAGTTGTGTGGAAAACGCGCATGCGCACATGGCCCATCTAAACACACCCCCCTAGCGTCACGGAGCGGGCGGTGCAGTATCGGCGGCTCGTGCCCATCACCAGGCTGGTAACACCGCCGCCCCATTCCGTCGAGCATCTTCCCCCAAACAGCCCCGAAGTCCTGCCGTTATTCTGTCCGCCCCGGCGTCTCCAGTCGCCCCCCATCCTTCACGTCCTCCACCTCAAAATGTCCGTGGGAAATGACTTTGGGAACCCTCTAAGAAAATTTAAACTCGTCTTTCTTGGGGAGCAGAGCGGTAAGAAATGTTTTCTTCACGGCAGAAGTAGTTGGTTGTCGGTTGTTTGTCAAGTGAACTCGCTGCACCTGCTGGTCAGAGAGCAAGTTAACGGACATTTAGCTAGCTGCTGTGGCCGACACGCATCTCTGAGGTTACAGGGAGAACAAAATACATGTTTGTTCACAGAGAGTGAAAATAGGGCGTCACTTTAATGAAATAACACTGAAGTGCAGTGTTATCTGCTTTGTTGAAGTTTATAAATGCGATTATGCGCCCTGTATATTAGTTAAATAGAGCATTAGAGTGGAAATATACAGGGAAGGAAACTGAAAACATTATGTGGCGATGCTGATGAGTCAAGTTTATTTATTTTATTTTTTATTGATTCTCATATTCCTGTGTTGAGACACACCCAGGATGTCAGCGGCGGTGAGGTAACTTGTATGACCGCAATCTGTGTCCTGCTAATGTCCAGACTGAGTTCCCATGTTCTTTAAACGCTGACCTGCTTTATATTATTAACATTTTACTGCATGAAGCACAGAGCATAATGACGCCTTCTGCAACTCTCTCTGATTCATCAGTTTTTTTTTTCTGTCTAAGCTCTGCTCTCCATCCTGAGCTCTACATGCCCACACCCTCAGACAGCCAACAGCCTCTCATTTTCTGAGGCGACTCAATTGTTTTCCAGGAGATTTCACAGAGCTGGCAACGCCCCAATCTAAATCTCCAGGTTTTAATTCAGGCTTTTATCAGGGCAGGTCTGTTTTTATTCTTTGGGGCAGTCAAATGAACCACATTATTCATGGCTCTGTGCTCCAATCTATCTATTGATCATGCATTAATAGCAGGGTCATGTGTCTTTATTAAATACCAGTTAAATCAATTGGTTGTTATCTGCAGAGTGGGATGCTTTTTTTGTACATTTGCCACTCAGATAATTTATAATAGAAAATTAAATGTTCTTGAGTTCTCTGTTAAGAATTAACAGATTGTTTGTCGTTTTGCTGTTTGGGCCTGAGTTAATATCAGGTATTTATTAAAGGAAATCAAATCTAGTACAATTGATTATCACCCAGGATCACGTTTGACAGATTTGAGCTTGTCTGGCATGTTTAGATGTGTTTCTTCTCCATCAGAGGTGAATTATTGACTGCTCAGTGTTTGATCAAGGTCTGCAGAAGCCCGATAATGACCTCCACATGTGATCCAGCTGTTTTAAACTAGGGAGACACATAAAACATATAGGACACTGACTCTCCTCACTATGGCTGCACACAGACGCCCGAAACTGTCAGTGTTCATAGAGCTATGATTGACGTTTTCCTGTTGCAAATGGGTTGCGTGAGACACTGCGTGTTGCTCAAGTTAAAGCAATGGTCGTTTTAAAGAAATTTATCATATTTAGTATACTAAAAGTTCAATGAAATTTAACACAAACCCCGAAACAATTAGCTTCAGCATAGTTTAGAATAGTAACAACTGTGCTCCAGATGATAAAAGAACTAGGACTGCAACTGATGATTATTTTGCAAATCAATTAATCTTAAGTTTATTTTCTCGATTAATTTATCGCCAAAGTGTCCTTAAAGAAGATTTTTTATGAAATTAAACCAGGTGAAACTCAAACTTTTCACTTGAAAAGTTCTGGATAGAGCATATTGACAGATTAAATTTTTTTTTTTAATCTTAAATGCAAAATATTTATATATATATTTTTTTACAATCTTTGTATAATTACTGCTCTAAGTGGGTGGCTCTGTCAGCTACAGGCATGTTTTACGGTCTCTATACTCCAATTAACGATTTATCGATTACTAAATTAGTTGAGAATTAGTTCAATAATTGATTAATCATGATTAATCCGATTATTTGTTTCAGCTCTAATAAGAACCATTAAGAAGATTTTTATTTAATTATTGTTGCTATGGAATTTTTATTTCTCCAGATATTAAATATGGTTGAAGTTTTGCATAATTTTTTAAGTTAAAGGTGATAGATAAAAGACTAACCCCTCTCAGGCAGTTGGGTGCTTGCACACGCCCGATCTCCTTCTGTACTATTTGCCAGCTGGTTGCCATGTCTGCAAATGCTAATTTGGATGCTATCCTTAGCAAATGTTGAACTTTTTTTGACCATTAGTTTTAGGCTCTATTGGCTTTTATTTTTATTTTATTTTTATTTTATTTTTATTTTTTTTAGAGAGAGTAGGTAGACGGGAAATGGGAGTAGAGAAAGGGTAAAGACATGCAGCAAAGGGCACCGGGTCAGGACTGGAACCTGTGATGGCCGCATCGAGGACCAAAGCCTCGGTACATGGGTCACACCCCTAACCCCTGCACCACAGCCGCACCTCAACATCTGCTTATCCATCCAAAAGACGATGTGAACCTCTTAGTGGCTTCTGAGCACCTTTGCTTCCTTTTGTCATATCTGGTCTGACGTTCACCCTTATTTTGCTCCTTTTTTTGGCTTGAATCTAAGAAAGAAGCCGTTTCTCATTGCTATCACAGAGCGACCAGGATCTGGCAATGCCTGAGCTACATTTCAACCTATCGTCTCAATTGGTGTAGAATCCTTTTAAAATAAATATTTATATATTTTGGACCTGTCAACACTTAGAAAACTATATGTATACTATTAGTTTTTTTTTCTTCTTTTATTTTTCTTCTTTTTTATTATTTTAATGAAAGATTAAAACAAAACAAACAAAACGAAACAAAACTTTTCTGTAAATCTGACCTTAAAAAAGAAGAAACTGGAAGAAACTGATTCTTCCGGCCGAAAGTAAATAACATGGAAAACTCCTGGAGAAAAACTTAATTAGGTAGAAACTTCCAAAACAAAGGTAAACTAATTAAAATCTGCTTAGTAAGAGTGTCATTATTAGCAAAGGATCAGTCTGAGTCTAGACAAAGTAGATTTCAGAGGTTTGTTGGAGAATGTTTATGAAAATGCCCTTTGAAATCTGTCGTTCATTTTCTAAATTCGTATTTTATTTTATTTTTTCACTCAATTCTCATAAACCTGAAACGGAGGTGGCTATAAAGTCACTGAAAACTAAGTAACAAATAAGCAGCCTCTAAAATTCAAAATTTAATGACTCTTTACTTTCACAAATAAAACAAAACATTGTGTAAATGTTTTTGCAATAAATTTAAAAACTATTCACCTCTCCTTTTATAGAACAAAAACATTCTTTATTTGCAAGGCCTAGGATCTCACATTAAAACAGGTATCCTTTTGGAAAACTGCTTTAGAGTTTAACATAAAATGTTTCATAAACACACATAAAACATACAGACTTAACAATGCTACTAACCAGGCACAATACTACTAAACTTCAAAGGCTTTTATTGAACAAAAGAAGCCACAAAATTTCCTGTCTAATGTATGTCATGAATCACAGCTCTCTACATGTGGAATTTGATAAAATGCACAAAAAGTACTGCCCATGAGATCAGATTGAAATGAGCCTTTTTGGCGTTTAGGCAAAGCATTGCAAACAAAAAACTAAGACTATTTATCATCATTCCCACCCGGTGATGGCAGCATCATGCTGTGGGGAAGCTTTTCTTTAGGAGGCTGGTTAGAATTGAGGAAATGAGAGAGGCAGCCAAATATCAGGTAATATTAGAGGAACACCTCTTGGCTGCTGTAAATGTTATAAGTCCTTTAATGGCACTTTACTTTTCTTTAAAAAAGCATATTTGCCTTTAATTTGATCAATTAGATTAGATGATCTGCTAATGGATTAAATATCCTTGCCATTAGATGCACTTGAATTAAATAATTCAGTTATTTTTATTATTTTAAATGTAATTAATCTTATTATTTTTTCATGTACCTGCTCAAAACAAGAAAAAAATAAATTAAGACACAGATGCTCTACATTTAAACCGACTCAGTTTAGGTTCCTTAGCAAAGAAAAATTGCCTAAATGTTTTCACTCAATCTAGCTGTGTAAAGCTGAAGTGCTGTACTTAATATAAAAAAATTGATTATAACAAATCATGTTTTAGATTGTATACTGTTTTAAACATTTAGCTATTGAAAATATGAACTAGCAACTCATTTGACCACACTTCAATAAATGAAAGTTTAGGAATCAGGGAACAAAATGTGATATTATAGCGTACAAGGAAACTCACTGTTTTTATCTGGTGTTTTGGATGATAATCCTAATTTGTCTTATTCATGAAATATCTTCTTTTATATTAAAATAACTATAGGTGAGCTCCTAAGTTTAGGCCAGAAATTTAGAAGTTGACTAATTCCTTTTTAGAAGAATATCACAGCATCGTTACCATTTAACTTATTTTTCTGTGGATACAAGACATTAAACAAATCACTCCAAACCCAGCAGTAAGTAGACCACCAGTGTAGAAACCACCCTGCTCTCTGAAAATTCTCATCATCATATCACTGACAACACTTGTTCTTCTTCCTGTCTGTCTACCTACATCGCTGGTTTTAGCCCAGAAAAAATTGCAGCTTTGCAGCCAAAACCCTCAGCCATTAGCTACATACTTAGAAAACGTTCCATTCCTTCACTCTGGATGGAACAGCAGCAGCGCCATCTATGTTGTTCATAGTTTAGCTTCAGCAGGTTTACTGTATCGCTGGATTAGCAACATACTGTTTATGTCACAGCTGGAAAAACTGAGATACAGTAGACATGATACCTGTATGATATCCACCTCTCATCTGTCCTATTGTTATGACCATAATGACTTAAGGAGTCGCGTTTAAGGAAGTAATAGTGACAGGTTTTGTCAGAAGAAATTTCCTAATCATCACATTCTGTAATAAACACTTCCTGGCTGATGGAAGCCGATAAGCTAGCAAGTAATCTCAGAAGATTCGGTTGTTTTTTTTTACCAGTACATTCATTGTGACACAATAGCTTAAATCGTTGTGTGTCAACATCTGGTATTGTGTAAATTTATGCTGCAATCTCTTCGTGTTGTAATCCAGGCTCCATAAGAGACTATATAAACCTCTAAATTACCCAACTG